ACCCCGGGCCCACGTGCCCGGATTCTGAAAAGTTTTGGATGAAAACATTACCCATAATCTCATGAACTCAAATATATAATTTCTACCCAATTTCATAACTATTTTCGTGGTTAAAATCTCATTTTTATAAAATCTAGGGTTTTCACCTAAATCTTTGATTTCTAAGATTTACTAGATATAATCTACTTATAATCTATGTATTTAACTCAAGGATGTGGAATTAACTTACCTCCAAATTGCTAGTTGAAATCTCCTCTCAAAAAGCTTTGAAATCGCCCAAACATGGAAGAAAATGGGAAAAAATGGTGAATTTCCGTTTCTTTAAGCTTTCTGCCAAACAGGTCTTTCGCACCTATGGAAGTTGGAACGCACCTGCAGCTCCGCACCTGCGAAAAAATCCTCGCAGGTGCGAGTTTCACTTGCCTGGCCAATTTTCGCATTTGCGCACAAAACTTCGCACCTGCGCGTTCGCAGGTGCGCAAATCGTCCGCATCTGCTGTGGATTGCCCCTTCCCATTTCCGCTTCTACGCTCAAAATCTCGCATATGCAAGTGCCGCGCCTACCAGCTTCTGTCGCATCTGCGAATGTCGCACCTGCAACTAGCCAAGCGCAGGTGCGATTCTGACAGTAGCTGGGAGCTTTTGTTTTGGCTTCCAACTTCCAACTTGGTCCGAGCCTCGTCCGATTGACACTCGAGGTCCCCGGGACCCCGCCCGAACATACCAACAGGTTTGAAATCATAAAAGGAAGTTGCTCGAACTCTCGGAATGTGTAAAACATCATCAAATATAAGAATCATACCTTATACCAAATTGATGCAAACTTAAGAATTTCAAGTTCTTCAATTTACTTCCAATGCACCGAAATATACTTAAACTACTTGGAATGATACGAAATTTTACGTGCAAGTCTTAAATCACTATACGGAACTATTCCCAAACTCAGAATTCCAAACGGACTTCAATTTCTCAAAAACCTACTCCAAACCAAATTTAAAGAAGTTTAAACCTTCAAATAGTTGATTTTTACTATTAAGCGTCAAAACGCTCCTGGGTTATCCAAAACCCGATTCGGACATACGCCCAAGTCCAAAATCATCATACGGACCTATTGGAACCATCAAATCCCGATTCCGAGGTCGTTTTCTAAAAATGTAGACCGAAATCAAACTTATCCATATAAAGCTAACTTAAGGAACCGAGTGTTTCGATTTCAACCCAAACGCTTCCAATTCCCGAACCAACCATCCCCGCAAGTCAATAATCATTAAAAGCACATATGAAAAATTTTATTTTAGGGAACGGGGTTCTAAAAGTTAAAATGACCGGTTGGGTCATTACAGCGGTCGTGCACGTCTCGCTTCGTATAACGTTGCTTGGTGCACGAAATGACCCCCCAGGTGTGCGGTCGCACACGAATACCCTCAAAAGGGCTCTTTTAGACATCTTAATTCCTTCCTTCCGCGACATGTACCTTCCTAAACCTACCCCATCATACTATAAACTAATATCTATCTATTATACACTATAAATAAAAGTGAAAAATCTAACTAATAGAAGAGTTAGAAGAAGTTCTGAGTTATAGTCGTCAGCTTGACTCAACCGGGCATCCTCAACTGATTTTGATGCTCAAGGATTGCTGAGCAAACCCTCCAGCAAGATACGATTTTAGTCTGTGCCCATTCACTTTGAAGCTTTCCGTTCCGTCCTGGTTTTGGATCTTAATTTCCCCATATGGTGATACATGTTCCACCACGTACGGTCCCATCCATCTAGACTTTTAATTTTCCGGGGAACAACCTGAGTCTACTATTGTACAGTAAGACTCTGTCCCCTTCATGAAATTCCTTTGGCATAATCAGACGATCATGCCACCTTTTAGTCTTTTCTTTGAAAATCCGCGCATTTTCATACGCGTCCAGTCTAAACTCCTCCAATGTATTTATCTGCGCCAACTTGTGTTCACCTGCAAGACTAAGATCAAGATTAAGCATCTTAATTGCCCAATATGCTTTATGTTCTATCTCAACAGGTAGGTGACATGATTTCCCATAGACTAGTTTGAATGGTGAAGTCCCTATGGTTGTTTTGAACGTAGTTCTGTACACCCATAGAGCTTCTTCCAACTTTATCGACCAATCCTTACGAGAAGCACTAACCGTCTTTTCAAGAATACGTTTAAGTTCACGGTTAGCTACTTCGACTTGTGCACTAGTTTGGGAATGGTACGGGGTTCCCGTTTTATATGTGACCCCAATCTTGGACAGCAGTGCAGCAAATTGCTTGTTCACAACGTGTGACCCATTGTCACTGATAATCACTCTAGGTGTCCCAAAGCAGGTAAAGATGTTTTTCCTTAAGAATTCACACACCACCCGAGCATCATTGGTCCTAGTAGGGATTGCTTCGACCCACTTAGAGATGTAGTCAACGGCTACTAGGATATACTCATAAGAGTGTGACGATGGGAACAGACCCAAGAAGTCAATGCCCCAAATGTAAAAAATTTCACATACCAGAATGGAGTTGAGAGACATTTCGTCCCTTTTGCTAATATTACATGCCCTTTGACACTTGTCACATGCAGCTACATACGCTCTCGCATCTTTGTACAAGGTAGGTCAAAAGAAACCAGCTTCCATTACCTTTGCTGCAATGCGATTCCCGCCATAGTGTCCTCTAGCTGCTCCATCGTAGCAATGAGACAAAATTCTTGGCATTTCACACTCATGCACACATCTTCAAATCATACCATCTGCACACAGTTTAAATAACAAAGGGTCATTCCAAAAATAACATCTTACCTCACCTTGCAACTTCTTTTTCTCATCTGAGGTTAAGTCATGTGGTAGCCACCCACTAGCCAAAAGTTGGCTATGTCGGTGAACCATGGTGGTCTATTGGAGTCTGCTACAATGGAAAAAATCTACTCATCTGGGAACTCTTCCCGAATGTCAACTGCTTCAACAGGTGGTTTCTCCAATCGCGACAAGTGGTCAGCCACTTGATTTTTCGTGCCCTTCCTGTCCTTGATTTCTAGATAAAATTCTTGCAGCAACAATACCCATCGCATCAAATGCGGTTTGGACTCTCTCTTACTCAGCAAATATTTCAGTGCTGAGTGATCAGTATGCTCTATTACCTTGCTTCCCACCAAATTGGATCTGAACTTGTCGAAAGCAAAGATTGATGCAAAGAACTCCTTCTCCGTGGTTGCATAGTTCACCTGAGCATAGTAAATGGGTTGGAACATTTTATCTCTCCTCTACCCCAGCACTGCTCCTATTGCCACATCACTGGCGTCACATATTATCTCAAAAGGCTCACTCCAGTTCCGGAGTCACCATTATGGGGGCACTCACTAGCTTCTCCTTGATCAGTTGGAATGCTCTGAGACACTTCACATCAAATACAAATTTTACATCCTTGGCAAGTAATGCAATCAAGGGTTTGGTAATGCTGGAAAAATTCTTAATGAACCTTTTATAGAAACCGGCATGCCCCAAAAAACTTCTGATGCTCTTCATTGAGGTCGGTGGCGGGAGCTTGGCTATCACGTCTACTTTAGCTTTGTCAACTTCAATACTTTCAGCTGCGACTTTATGGCCCAGGACTATCCCCTCCTTAACCATGAAGTGACACTTTTCCCATTTGAGTACTAGGTAAGTGTCCTCACATCGTTTTAGAAAAGGTTCGAGGTTCCTCAAGAAATCTTCAAAGTCATCTCCAAATAATGTAAATTCATCCATGAACACCTCCAGATACTTCCCAATTAAATATGAAAATATTGACATCATGTATCTCTGGAAAGTAGTTGATGCATTGCATAGTCCAAAAGGCATTCTCCAGTATGCAAAGATTCCGGACGGGCATGTAAAGGTGGTTTTCTCAACATCCTCGGGAGCAATGGATATTTTATTGTACCCTGAATATCCATCTAAAAAGTAGTAATATCCACGCCCACCACCTTCTCCAATATCTGATCAATGAATGGAAGAGGGAAGTAATCCTTCCTTGTTGTATTATTCAATCTCCGGTAATCAATGTACATCCTCCACCAGTAGCTGTTCTGGTAGGGATTAGCTCGTTGTCCTCGTTTTTTACCACCGTCATGCCCCCTTTTCCGGAACAACCTGTACATGGCTGATCTATTGACTGTCAGAGTTGGAAAATATTATGCCTGCATCCAGCAATTTGAGTATCTCTTTTTGAATCACCTCTTCAAGATTTTTGTTCAATTTGCGCTGGGGCTGCACCACTGGTTTACTCCATTCTTCTAACAAGATTTTGTGCATGTATATTGCAGGGTTGATCCCCTGAATATCGGCTATAGTCCAACCGATTGCCTTTTTATTCTTCCATAGTAACTCCACAAGCATGTGTTCCTGTTTACCTGTCAAATCAGCAGCAACAATCACAGAAAAATTATTAGTCTCCAAAAAAACATATTTCAAATGTGTCGAGAGTACTTTCAATTCTAGCTTCGTCTTGCTCTTTTCTTTCTCGAATTCTTCTTCATCTACCACCTGGTTCTCATTTTCCAGTGCCTTAACTTCCTTCTTGATCTCCGGATCCTCCTCCTCTGTTGTGCTTGATTGACTAATGCATCTCTCTAGTGAGTCACCTAACAGCTTATCCAGTTTGTGTTGTTCAGCTAACTCTCCCACCATATCTAGTTTGAGACAAGCATAGGCAGATGCCTCATCACGTGGGTATTTCATCATTCTCTTCATTTGAAACACCACTTTTTTGTTTCCTACTCGTAGCATGAGTTGCCCCTCATATATATCAAGAATAGCCTGGCCAGTGCAAAGGAATGGTCTCCCCAATATTAGAGGCACTTACTTATTCTCTTCCATATTTACAACGATGAAGTCTACTGGGAAAACAAATTTGTATACCCTTAGCAGGATGTCTTCAATTATGCCCTTCGGTATGATCGTGGTTTGATTAGCCAGTTGCAAGGATACTAGCATATATTTGATCACTCCTAGCTCTTCTTACAATTTCTTGAACACCGATAATGGCATCAAGTTAATGGATGCACCTGAATCGCACAAGGCTTTGTCAAAATTTTTGCTACCCAACGAACAAGGTATAGTAAAACTGCCAGAATCCCCGCACTTCTTGGGAATTTTGTTCTGTAGAATAGCACTGCAGTGGGCATTGAGTTTGACCACTTTCGTTTTCTCGAGCTTCCTTTTGCTTGAGAGGATTTCCTTCAGGAATTTTGCATAGGCTGGCATCTGTGTGAGCACCTCCGTGAATGGGATGTTCACAAACAACTGTTTCAGCATGCCCAAGAATTTCCCAAAGAATTTGTCTAATTTCTCCCGCTTAATCTTTTGAGGAAAATGTAACAATGGCATGTGCTTGCTTTCCTCAACTGCGACGTTCACTTTCTGCTTATCAACATCCTTGTTGCTGACATTCTCCTTGGACAAAGATTCACCGATTTTCTATTCTTTAGGTATCTTGGTTGAGTTGATCTCATTCTCGTCCCTTGGTTTTGGCTTTGGCTCTGCTAATGTTTTTCTACTCCTGAGAGACATAACTTTGATTGTCTTTTTTGGATTCTTTTCAGTATCTACCGGTAAAGTCCTCGGTGCCCTTTCTGACAACAATGTTGCAAGCTGCCCTATTTGTTTTTCCAGATTCCGGATGGCTGTGCCTTGCTCCCTGATAGCGGTCCCTTGAGTCTCAAGTTTCTCATCAGATTTATTTATAAATGCCTTTATTAGATCTTCTAAACCTAAGTTGTTGGGCTGTGGAGATTGGTAAGATTTCCTCTGTTGAGTTTGGAAACCATGAGGTCCTTGCACTGGTGCTCTGGGATTTTGCTGCTTCCATGAGTTCAAACTACCAGTTGAAGAACTCCATGAGAACCTTGGATGTCTCTGTCTCATAGAATTAAAATTACCACCTCCTTGGTAGTTGCCTCTATTAAAGTTCCCCACAGCATTGAATTCCTCGGATATAGCTTGACACTCATATGTCGGGTGTCCCAATCCACAGATGTCACATCCCACATATGGGCTGATTTTTCACTTGAGCTAGCGTCATTTGCTTGATGTCCTTAGCCATAGCTGTAATTTGGGCCTGCATTGCTACCTAGGATTTTACTTGGTGCACCCCTGCTGATCTTTTTCGGTCCCCTTGATCAGTGGACCATTGTTCCGCGTCTTCAAATAGTTCATTCAGAAGAGTGACAATCTCTTCAGGAGTCTTCTTCATCAGAGGGCCTGCAACCGCATTATTCAGCAATCTCCTTGATGATGGGTTTAATCCCAACAGTCCTGGAGTTGCATCCATTTCTCTATTCCATTATGAGGGCACCTCCGCAATAGCTTCTTGAATCTTTTCCATACCTCGAAAACTGGCTCCCTATCACCTTAACTGAAATTGTGAATTTCTTTCCTCATTCGTCCAGTCTTAGCGGCAGAGAAATATTTTTCTAAGAACTTGGTCGTCATCTCCTCCCATGTATAGATTGACCCTGTGGGCAGACTTCTCAACCACTGCTTTGCATCATCCTTAAGAGAGAATTGGAATGCTTTAAGGTAGATGGCATCATGTGATGATCCATTGTAACGAAATATGTTCATAATCTCATCGAAGTCCATCAGATGGTTATTGGGATCTTCAATGGGTTTCCCTCTGAATATGCAATTATTCTGAATGGTCTAGACGACTCCCTATTTGAGTTCAAAATTATTGGCATCAATGAGTGGGGGTCTCACACTAGACTGTTGTTGGTTATATACCGGTCTAGCATAATCTCTTAACGACCTCCCAGGTCTAGGAGCTGCATTTTCAAATTCATCTTCTATCACATTTCGATTGGGATTGAACCTTCGCTCCCCATCGACTATTTCATTCGCAATTCTGGTTGCTTCAGCTACTAACCGTTCTTCCCATTGCTGAGTTGCCTATCTCGTAGCTAGGTCCACCACCTCTTCATTATTTATCATTGTATTTTGAGTTGAAGGCTGACTCAACAACAATCCACTCGATCCTTTCTCTCTTTTCAACAATCCTACCTCAGGTACTTGTCTAACTCTGGGTCATTTGGCACCAATTTCTTTGAAAAGGATCGATTCATACACCGCTGAACTTAACATATTGCCTGCACATAGATGAGATGAGCGTAAAAAAGGAAAATAAAATAAAGTTGTTCCTGAATTAGCACTGGAAATTAATTTAAACATTATTAATCTCCAATCCCTCGCAACATCGTCAAAACTATCTATCGGGCTTGTTCATTTACTATGCAAGACGGACCTTTAATGATGCTCGGGTGAACTATGCTACCATGGAGAAGGAATTCTTTGCAGTAGTCTTTGCTTTCGACAATGGTGGGAAGCAAGGTAATAGTGCATACTGATCACTCAGTAGCGAAATATTTGCTGAGTAAAAGAGTGTCCAAACTGCATCTGATGCAGTGGGTATTGTTGCTGCAAGAATTTGATCTAGAAATCAAGGACAGGAAGGGAATGGAAATTCCCAAAAAGTATGGGGATCCTGGCAGTTTCACTATATCTTGCTCGTTGGGTAGCAAAAATTTTGACAAAGCCTTGTGCGATTCAGGTGCATCCATTAACTTGATGCCATTATCAGTGTTCAAAAAATTGGAAGGAGATCTAGAAGTGATCAAATCTGTGCCAGTATCCTTGCAACTGGCTGATCAAACCACGATCATATCAGAGGGCATAATTGAGGGCATCCTGGTAAGGGTAGACAAATTTGTTTTCCCAGTAGACTTCATCGTGGTAGATATGGAAGGGAATAAGGAAGTGCCTCCAATCCTGGGGAGACCATTCCTTTGCATTGAGCGAGCTATTCTTGATATATATGACAATTCATGCTATGAGTGGGAAACGAAAAAGTGGTGTTTCAAATTAAGAGAATGATGGAATACCCATGTAATGAGGCATCTTCATATGCTTGTCTTAAACTAGATGTGGTGGGAGAGTTAGTTGAACAACACGAACTGGATAAGTTGTTAGGTGACTCACTAGAGAGATGCATTAGTCAATCAAGCATAACAAAGGATGAGGATCTGGAGATCAAAAAGGAAATTGAGGCACTAAAAAATGAGAACCGGGTGGTAGATGAAGAAGAATTCGAGAAAGAAAAGAGCAAGCCGAAGCTGGAATTGAAAGTACTCTCGACACATTTGAAATATGCTTTTTTGGAGACTAATAATTTTCCTGTGATTGTTGCTGCTGATTTGACAGGTGAACAGGAACACATGCTTGTGGAGTTACTACGGAAGCATAAAAAGGCAATCAGTTGGAGTATAGCCGATATTCAGGGGATCATCCCTGCAATCTGCATGCACAAGATCTTGTTAGAAGAAGGGAGTAAACCAGTAGTACAACCTTATCGCAAATTGAACAAAACTCTTGAGGAGGCAGTTCAAAAAGAGATACTCAAATTGCTGGATGCAGGCATAATATTTTCATATCTGACAGGTAATGGATCATCCCTGTATAGGTTGTTCCGAAAAAAAGGGGCATGACAGTGGTAATAAACGAGAACAACGAGCTAATCCCACCATTGATTAGATATTGGAGAAGGTGGCAGGGCATAGAGGTTACTGCTTTTTTGATGGATATTTAGGGTACCATCAAATACCCATTGCTCCCGAGGATGTTGAGAAAACCACCTTTACATGCCCGTCCGGAATCTTTGCATACTGGAGAATGCCTTTTGGACTATGCAATGCATCAACTACTTTCCAGAGATACATGATGTCAATATTTTCATATTTAAATGGGAAGTATCTAGAGGTGTTCATGGATGACTTTACATTATTTGGAGATTACTTTGAAGATTTCTTGAGGAACCTCGAACCTTTTCTAAAACGATGTGAGGACACTTACCTAATACTCAAATGGGAAAAGTTTCACTTCATGGTTAAGGAGGGGATAGTCCTGGGCCATAAAGTCGCAGCTGAAAGTATTGAAGTTGAGAAAGCTAAAGTAGACATGATAGCCAAGCTCCCGCCACCGACCTCAGTGAAGAGCATCCGAAGGTTTTTGGGGCATGCTGGTTTCTATAGAAGGTTCATTAAGAATATTTCCAGAATTACCAAGCCCTTGACTGCATTACTTGCCAAGGATGTGACTCCTAACTGGAGTGAGCCTTTTGAGATAAAGTGTGACGCAGTGATGTGGCAGTAGGAGCAGTGCTGGGGCAGAGGAGAGATAACCTATTATGACCCATTCTTATTTAAACTGTGTGCAGATGGTGTGATTCGAAGATGTGTGCCTGAGTGCGAAATGGCAAGCATTCTGTCTCATTGCCACGATGGAGCAGCTGGAGGACACTATGGTGGGAATCGCACAACAACAAAGGTAATGGAAGCCAGTTTCTTTTGACCTACCTTATACAAAGACGCGAGAGCGTATGTCGCTGCAAGCGACAAGTGTCAAAGGGCAGGTAATATTAGCAAAAGGGATGAAATGCCTCTCAACTCCATTCTGGTATGTGAAATTTTTGACGTTTGGGGCATTGACTTCATGGGTCCGTTCCCAACATCACACTCTTATGAGTATATCCTAGTAGCCATTGACTACGTCTCTAAGTGGGTCGAAGTAATCCCTACTAGGAACAATGATGCTTGGGTGGTGTGTGAATTCTTAAGGAAAAACATTTTTACCCGCTTTGGGACACCTAGAGTGATTATCAGTGACAATGGGTCACACTTTGTGAACAAGCAGTTTGCTGCACTGCTGTCCAAGTATGGGGTCACACATAAAACGAGAACCCCGTACCATAGCTAAACTAGTGAGCAAGTCAAAGTGGCTAACTGTGAATTTAAACGTATTCTTCAAAAGACGGTTAGTGCTTCTCGTAAGGATTAGTCTGTAAAGTTGGAAGAAGCTCTATGGGCATATAGAATTGCATTCAAAACAACCATAGGGACTTCACCATTCAAACTACTATATGGGAAATCGTGTCACCTACCTGTTGAGATAGAACATAAAGCTTATTGGGAAATTAAGATGCTTAATCTTGATCTTAGTCTTGCAGGTGAACACAGGTTAGCGCAGATGAATGCATTGGAGGAGTTTAGACTGGACGCGTATGTAAATGCGCGAATTTTCAAGAAAAAGACTAAAAGGTGGAACGATCGTGTGATTAATCCCAAGGAGTTTCATGAAGGGCACAGAGTCTTACTGTACAATAGTAGGCTCAGGTTGTTACCCGAAAAATTTAAGTCTAGATGGACGGGACCGTACGTGGTGAAACATGTATCACCATATTGGGCAATTGAGATCCAGAAACAAGACGGAACGGAAAGTTTCAAAGTGAATGGCCATAGACTAAAACTGTATCTTGCTGGAGGGTTTGCTCAGCAATCCTCGAGGATCAAAATCAGTTGAGGATGCCCGGTTGAGTCAAGCTGATGACTATAACTTAGAACTACTTCTAACTCTTCTATTAGTTAGATTTTTCACTTTTATTTATAGTGTAAAATAGATAGATATTAGTGTATAGTATGATGGGGTAGGTGCAGGAAGTTACATGTCACAGAAGGAACGAATTAAGGTGTCTAAAAGACCCTTTTTGAGGGTATTCGTGTTCGACCGCGCACCTAGGGTCACTTCGCGCACCAGGTCACGCAGCAGGCAACGATATACGAAGCTAGACGTACGCAGCCACGCATCTGATGGGGTGACCACTCACCTGGTCGTGCATTCTCACTAGTGTACTGCCTTGAGTGTGCGACCACATGTGCGACCGCACACCGACCGCGCACCTAACGTGCGTCAGGTAAGTTTTTCCCTTTTAATTTCAGACTTTCCCCTCTCAAAACCCCCAATTCTAAAATTCCCTCTTTCTCTCCCCAACACTAAACAACCCTAAATCGACCCCCACCCCACCCCTCATACCCTCTCTGACTAATTAGGGCTGAAATTGATTTGTAGGAGGCTAAGAAGAGCTATGCTTGTTATGTGTTTGTGTAATTGCCTCAATGAGATTGTGGGTGTAATGTTGTGACCAAGTGTAAGGGTGAAGTATGAGTAGCCCCTCTTGGTTCACCATGTGATTCATTAGCTAATAGTTGGCGGTCTGTTTCAGGTACTATGGCGCCACCCAAGAAATGAAAACCACAGGTGCATCTACAAGTGGTCAAGCAGGCATATCCCGGTCCTGAGCTTCGATTTCTACTCACCCGTATGATCAGAACAAATTTGCCTCTTAGGAAGCCCAAGAACGATTCCAACAAAAGGCAAGTAAGAAGCCCATTCCAGAGAGGAGAATTGATATTAGGTCCCTCAAAAATGACTATCCCCGTGTGT